TCTCTCTCTCTCTCTCTCTCTCTCTCTCTCTCTCTCTCTCTCTCTCTCTCTCTCTCTCTCTCTCTGCGCAACCACTCACAGTCGCAACAAGAGACGCACTACACCGGAATGCTCCCATACCGTAAGAACGGGTGGGATGACGTCTTTTTATAGTGCACATCCCGCGGAACAGGCACGTAGAAGCACCCCTATTCGTGCGCCGAGGCTTTTCGTTTTCTGATTTCTTTTTTATTTTCCCTATGATTTTTTTTTCTCCATACTTTCGCAGGCGGATCGGAATTGGAAGCCACGCCGGCCAGGGTCGGTCCCTACGTTGTCGAGGGGTCCTTATCACGGCTGTCGTCCGCTCCCCGACCACTCCCTGCACCCCTCGCCGCCATAACCCCGACGAGCATTTCCAAAATGGAATTGCCCTGCCGCATCGCCCCGGCGACAGCCTCGATCTCTGTCGCAACCATCCTCCATCCATCCGTCGAAGCACGAGCCAATGTGTCGGCAACCCTGTCCAAACCCTCACACAAGGCCCTTGTCGACTCCTCCATCACCAATGCCATACCGTACATCAACGCCGGAGAATCCCCCCCCTGGGCTTTCCCGCTTGAGGTATGGTGTGTCTTCATGGCGGTGTCCGAAGCATCCGTCCAGCACCCTCTGAACCCGCCTCGCCGCCACTCGGTGATCCACCCCCTCTCAAATCTTCCGAAGCCAGTGTGTCGTCACACGTCACTGACTTCTTCAACCGATACCACTCCACAGCATCCCACAACTGCCGCTCGAACGTCAAGCTCACCCCTAGCTTCCTCCATTGTTCCATGGTGGTGTCCCTGTACGCTTGTTTCCCCGACCCTTCGCACGCATCCCGGTTCTCCCTCAACTTCTTCACCAGCTCCGCCTATTTCTTCCTGCAGTCTTCCGCTGACCTGGAGTAACCGATTTCTCCAAGCCTTCCTGCAACCCACTCCCATCTTTTCGACCTCGTCATGCACGCCTGAGCACCCTCGGCGTCAGCCATAAGAGTTTCCTATCTCTCCTCCAAAGACCAGGGGTTGTTTTTCTTCGACGGTCGTGGTGAGCTGCCCCCCTTCCTTTTCTGGCTGCCCACGAGACGCGCTTTGCTCCGATGAGCGACTCCTTCACTACACTTGTCAGGCGCGGAGGGAGTCGTTCCATCATCATCATCCTTGTCTCCTCTCTCCCCACGGTTCCCCATCCATGGACCCTTGAGACCGGTCTCCCCTATCTCGCCGGCCATGTTTCCCGGAAACCCGGTTGTGACGTCGCTCCTACTTTCTTCTCGGCATTGGCGATATCCCCTGCTGCCCGACGCACAAAAAAGGTCAGGTGAACTGCTGTCCACCCCCCTTGCCTGCACGTCATAGCTGGACATTCTCCTCTGGGGGACTTCTGTGTTTCTCGACGCTTGTGCAACTCTACGGCCCGATGCCATACCGATTGCAGGAGACGTGCCTTGACGCACTCTCCCCCCCCCAATCACAGACAGTTCTGCGGACTGCTGATCACTCACTACATGCGGAGTTGGGTGGTCGGAACAACCTATTGTTGTCGTTCTGCGAACAGGAAGTGGCGAGATGGGCGGCATCATCCCCGCCCGAGGCTGGACAAACGCTGGATAATTTTTGGCCATCCTTGCTGAAAATCTAGCGCAAACTCCCGCTCCTAGACCGGACCCACCCCAACCGGTGGGAAGACGTCCATCGTCAACCCCTCTTCGGTAATAGATGGGTAACAGACACGAGTGGTTGCATTATGACGAGCTCATCCCTACCATGGAAGAGTTGGGTTAAGCATGAAGTGCTTAGGGTGGGGGATCTCTGGGACAGTGAAAGGCAAGACTGAAAAACAGAGGACCAATTGCGAGCATCTTTGAGGTACTGCCATCATGTAGAGGAGCTATTTGAAAACCTCATTGAGGCTATCCCACTGGAATGGTACCGGATCCTCAAACGTGGCCCTACTTTGAAAGAAGGGGATAGGGTTGCAGACATAGGGACCCCTCTAAGGATCGGCCTGATTCATATGGTTTCACCCCAAATAGTTATGGCCAAATACTATGCTACCACCAGAATAGGCACCCTCCAAAAGGATGGAGCACCCTTTGAATGGAAAGATAGAACATCAGTGCACCGATTGAGAGTTATAGAAGAGAAGGGACAAAGGGTGGCATTCCAGCCCGACAAACCAATCCAGGACTTGGCTCCGGATCCAGTAGAATGGACTTGGAAGCCCCCCCAAAAGAGGGGCACCTGACACCTGAATGCCGACCACACCCTCCTATCCCCTCTTTTGGGGGGGCTTCCAAGTCCATTCTATTGGATCCAGAGCCAGGTCCTGGATTGGTTTGTCGGGCTGGAACCCCCCCCGTTAATGATAGATGGGCCAGACACCTGAATGTCGATCGCACCCTCCTATCCCCAATCCGATGGTTCAAGGAACAAAAATACAAACCCATGAAAATCACCTCCGTGCAGTGGCAGATAGCTCACCTCTGTCTGCCTACAAACGATTGGTTAATTGACCGCACAAACCTTGAACAAAGAGGCCTGTTGCTCCCATGGTGCCAACGGTGTCAGAGTCTCTTCCCCTTCCACAAGAAGGCGGAAACCATTGAACATGTTTTCATGCAATGCCCGATTGCCCAATTCACATGGCGATGGTGGGACCGCATATGGCGAAAAATGGAACCGGACATTCCCTGGCCCTGGACGTGGCAAGCCATTCTGACGGGGCACTGACCGTTAGCAGGAACAGCCACGACTTTCATAGAGAACATGTACAGATTGGGAAGGAGGGCGGTGATATGGGCACTATGGTGGCAGCGATGTACCCTAGGCATGGAGAAGGTACGGGTGGAGGGGCCAGAGATCATTGAACAGATCCAGCAACAGATACACCTTGACCTCACACACAGATAGTTGGACACGAAAGCACAACAAATTGGAGACGTCAGGAGACGAATCACGACATTCTGCACAGACTGGGTAGGGGGAGAAAGAGAAGGATGGATCGCAAAAGTTGAATGGAGTGGTGACAGAGGAGGAGGTTTGTGTGACCTGGAAGGAATGAGAGACTATCGTTTAGTTTTCAAGGACTGGACTAACATAGAGCCCTCGTTCCCATTATGCCCTTCCTTGGATTTCCCGTATCCCTTCCCACCCCATGCCTTATCCCTGGTAGAAACGCTGTCCTGAATGTGAAAATCTGATGACCTGATCCTTCCTAAATCTGTGCCTATACGCGGTCCTCCTCCCTGGTGCCCCCTGGGGAGGACTCCGTCATCCTTCCTTTTCTTTTTCTGAAGGCTCAATTAAGGTAGTCAATGCTGGGAATTCGGATAGCCTGTACTACTTTTGACAGCAGGCAGGGTCTGGAGGGAGTAGGTACTGAATAGTATCAGCCCCTACAAGGCTATCTGGCGCCCTTCTCTGAGGGTGAAGAGGTACAGACGGCAATGGCAACACTCCAAACTCATGAAGGACTACACTATTGAACACTATGCAAGCCTGCTCAGTCAATCCCCTGGGTTGCAGGGCAATCAATGCTGGCAGGCCCCACACTTTCATCTCTCATCACTTCAGACATCCCCAGATACTTTCTCTTCTTGTAAAAAGGGACGCTGGACCCGTTTTCCAGCAGTTGACGCTCCCCACCAATACATGGAGCCTCTCCCCAGGTGCTATTGGTGTCTGCTCTTACCAGCAGCACTAACACTGAAGGGGGTGTTTTTTCAAAAAAAAAAAAAAAAAAAAAACAAAGAGCGCCTTCCCCTAGTAATGTGTCCTGTTGGTGATAGACAAATAGGAAAATGGGCTGAGTAAGCGGGGTCTTGCCACAAGCCTCCGTTGTTCAGTTCTTGTTGGGTGTGGGCAGGAAGGGGAAGGCCTGTCAGTTACAGAAGCCTCTTCCTAATGGGACCTGGTCTGTGGACAGGCTGCTGCAACTACTTCGTCACGAACCAGCCATTCTGCTTCCTGAAAATAGATTGGAGCTCTACCACAAGGTCTGCCTGCATGTGTTTTTTTTTTGGAAAGGCCCTTGTGCAAGGCCACTATCCCAGTGGTGGTAAGAGAACCACCGAGATTGAGGCTTTGCCTGACTAGCTGCTCCACCTATCAGTGGGGAGCGTCCCTGCTGGAAAACAGGTCCAGCGTCCCAATTTTACAACTTCTGAGAAACCTTTTTTTTTTTTTTTTTTTTTTTTTTTTTTTTTTTTTTTTTTTTTTTTTTTTAACCATACATTGTGTTAAAGACATTTCCTTGTCAGCATTGATTACCCTGGGGTCCAGGGGATTGACTTAGCAAGGTGGGGGGTGGCCGACGCACTGGCCGACATGTTTCTGAGGGGCTCCAAGACCAGTTTCCTAACTTGGAGGGATAATGCAGGACACACAATAAATTGTTCTTCAACCCCTCCCACCCCAACCCCCCCATTCCTCCAAAAAATATCTTTTCAAAGAAACTCAGAAAAAGAATAAACGCAGGCATGGCCCAGTCCAAGCATGGGACACAGAAAACGTCTGAGAGCTTTGTGAAAAAACGTGTTTGCTTTTTTTTTTTTTTTGAACTTCATGAAGTGAGGGGGGGTCTGGTAAGGGTGTCGATAGGAGCATCCACGCTTAGCAGGGTCCCAGGTGTGAAGGCGCCAACTGACAGGACATAGGGCCTTGCTCCACTTGTGAAGTCTCCAACTGACAGGACATAGGGCCTTGCTCCACTACTCAACATCCTACATGTACCTGAGTTGAAGGTGGACCAATACAGTAGGACTGGGTGAATATTTTGAATGTATTGAGACCATTTCCACCCAGAGATACATTTAGAATGTGGTGCGAAGTGGCTTGTGGCCACGTGGCGCCTGTTGTTTGGTGACATTGACGTCCCGTGACACGTCAGCAGGGGTAGCGCCAGCCGTGCGATTACAAGGTGTAGAACTGTGTGAGTGGCGCAGCTAATGGGGGGAGAGATGGATTTGGTAGGGAAGCTACCACAACAAGCAGAAGAAGGGATTACCACACTGGAGGAGGGATACAAGCAGATGCAGACGATAGTGGGGTTGCTTATGCAACGGCAGCAAGAAGGGGGGGAGATCGATGGGGGAGCGATTTCGATGGACCAGTGGTTGGAAGATAGGATTCAGGAGTTGTTAGATATCTTGTGGGAGCTGGAGGAGGGGCCAGATCCCCGGCCCGATGTCTACATCGACTGGAGGCGGGCGGATGACAGGTTGGCTGCTTGCAGAACCCTCTTCACATTGGGGCGAGATCTACGCAATCAGTTGGAGTATCGGTATGGATTGCTGGCAGATGAAGATGATTGCGGCGAAAACACAAATAACAGCGACAACATCAGTTACGGCGACATCAATGATAGGGACGGTGTCAACAATAACAATGATGGGGGAGGCGACGTCCACGGCTGCAGCATGATGGGAGCGATACAACAGGTGGACGCAGAAGATAATGGAGACGTCAACAACAACAACAACCACAACAATAACAACAATATCAACTATAGCAACAACAACAAAAACTATGGTGCGCAGGGATTGAGATTGGGCGTAATGGGCGAAGGGGGTGTGAAGGATGACAGTAACATCAACAACGATGGCGAGAACAACAACGGCGAGAACAACAACAACAACAACAACAACAACAGCAACAGCAACAGCAGCAGCATGAAGGTGGAATTGAGAGAAGAAAGGGTGACGAACCATGCTGATGCCACAATTGATAGTGACGAGTATAAGGGGGGAGATGGTGCGTGGTGGGTTGACCTGATGTTGCGTTCGTATCAGGTCGTGGCAGAGAGGGCTGCTGTCGGTGGTGAGAGGAAACATGCCTTCAATGAGGCAGGAGAGGGGGAGACTTAGTGGAGTTGGGGCTACTGGCAACGACGGCAGCAGCGGCGGTGACGGCAACGGCAAATACAGAAACTAATACAGCAACGACATCAACAACAACAACAACAGTAACAACAACAGCGATCGACGTCGAAGCGGCAGCAACAGCAAAAACACCACCAACAACAATACAAGCAACAACATCAATGATTGATGCTGACGGCGGTGCTTATCCTCGTCACGGCATCGACGACCATGGCGAGAGGGAAGATGCCCCTGATGAGGCAGATGAGTGTGGGGTGGAATTGGGGCTAATGACAACGGCGGTGGTGACAACAACAACAACGGTGACGGCCAGCATCGCCACAACGATAGCAGGAGAGCTAAAGCCAGTAGTAACAATAGCATCAGGGAAGTGGGGGGCAGCTAGTAGCTTGGTTGGGCTGGCGAGGTGGGAGTTGGGTTGAAGGTGAGAATTACCGTTCCTTCCCATTCCTCCCCGGTGTTTCATCATGTTGATTCGTCTTTCATTTTTTGGCACCTTGTGGGCGTAGGATAGATGACCTCCCCCTCGTCCATTAGGATGATTGGCTCTCAACTCTCATGCCCTCAACTCTCAATCATGTGGTCTCATGACGGGTTTGATGATTACGAGTAGGATAGCTGCCGGTGACTGATGCTGCCCGGGCTGGGGGGCTGTTTGTCCCGTTGGTTGGCGGCGGGCTGATTAGCGATTAGTTGGCAGGAGGTCAATCCTTTCCTGCGCAGGGAAGTAATCAATGCCCCCTGTTCGTTTCACAAATGCATATTGGTTGTTGGACTTGACGTTCGGATCATACATCTCTCACTATTGATAGAGCTCTGTTTTTTAGGTATGTTTGACAAAGATCATATACATCATATTGCGCTTTGGATTTGTGTTTACAGTTTGATAGATATAGAATAAAGACATATATTGGC